AATTTATTCGCTGCTGTATTTCTAGGTCTGATAGAATGAGTGGGAGTGGGTGAGGTGTACCTGATACCATGTGCTCCTGGCATCACCAGTGATGCAGTGCAGACATAGAGACCAGTGACTTGAAGACTAGAAATTGAAATATATGAACAACCTGCAACTTCATCCCAAGTACTGCAACTCATATACTAAGATATTCTGGCTAGCACAGGCAGTGCTCTTGTGTGACAAAGAATAGTTGCTTGTGATTAAAAATGTACATCATTCATCAACTGAGAGCGAAATTATTAACATTTAGACCTGATGACTCTGCCCATTCCAAAGGAAGTTTTTATGGCAAATGGAGATTTAGTTTGAGAGCATCTTGGAGAAGCTGGACCTGGGGCTACTTATTTTTTCTAGTGAACCATAAAAAAAATTAATAAATAAAGCATATGTGCCCTTTACCGCTCTTTTCTGTACCAATATCCCCAAAATTACTTCTTCAACTTCGTCTGTTGGGTTGAAAAAAAGATATATTAAAATCTTTTCACCTCAGTTTAGGAATGCTGGCTGCATCTCCAATTCCAGTCAGAGTGCCAGTGTCAATGGCTCTCCAAAGATGACCACTGACCTCTTGGGAAAAGAGGTGAATTAAGACCTGATGTTTTAGCAACAACACAAGCAGAAGCAGACTGTTTTGTGCAAAGGTTACTCTTCTAAAAGTGTCTTTCTACATCATGAAAGAGCTAGTAGGGGTACAGCATTTTTTTCCTATGAAGCTCAGTATTAGCATAACAAGGGTGCCAATATGGGTTGATGTCAAATCAAGGACACCGCCCTCCACCCCTCCCAAGTCAACTGCATTGCTGCAGGCAGAGGTGTGGTGGGGTGGCATGGTGCAGCTCTGGTATTACTATTTAGGCAGCTAAGGGAGTCAATGACCCATTGTTCTTCACTTCCCGGGGTTTAACAATCATGCCCCCTTCTTAATGATCATTCCACTAGCCAAGCAAACCTATTTTAGGGTAATTTTGCTGTCTACTAGGACTTCCTATTTTACAGCTCATGCTGCTCTGCCTCCCTGATGGACTGCACCCCATGCTGCACCTGGGAATGCTTGTTATAATTTCCACTGGCCAGCCAGAACTGGCCTTTGAAATCTGGAACTGTCCCCGGCAGATCAGGCTGTATGGTCACCCTAAGAATAACTAGTGTAGTCTGAAGCCTGAGAGAAGATAACCCAAGTTATTCTAGCCCTAGTTTGAAGCTTATGGGATCAAGATCATTTGAGAGCTCAAATGTTAGGAGTTTTTTAGTTTTGTATTATATATCTGTCTGTGTTTTCCACTTTTGGCTCCAGTGCCTAAATACCATAAAGATGGACTTTAGTGGACTATGTACATGAGTTATTCTTTCAGGATGTCCATTGTATGGAATTAGGTTCCTGTCACTGTGAGAACTGTACCATACCTCCGAGCCAATTGGGAAGATTCTGTATTGTGTGAGTCTGTATCCCACTTTCCTGAAGAATACGGGACAAGGGACAGTCAGGGAAGCAGCACTGGTTCAGCCCAGGAATAAAGCGGTTGGCCCAGGAAGGGCTGATAGAGCCACCTACCTGGTGGAGACAGTGTCAGCTGCATTGGAGGAGCAGCAGCCAAAATCCATGCCATCCCATGCTGGGTGCAGGTGAGGGGGCAGCTGGCCACTTTTGGTACAAGTGGAAGCCCCATGCCAACTCCAGCTGAAAGCTGGCATGCCACGGAGAACCAGCAACCAGATGAGAGCCTGCACGCCAGGAGGAGCCGGCCCACTGGGAAAAGCCTGCATGCCAGGGAGAACTGCCAGTCAGCTAAGAGCTGGCACACCAGGAAGAGCCAGGTCACCAGGGAAAGCAAGCAAGATGAAGATGGCTTGTTTGGAGGTGAAGGCTGGCTGAATGTAAGGAGCCTGCCATAGAGACAGTGCTGAACAAAACTGTCAGAACTCCAGCCAATTGGAGGAGTGTCCAGCAATAAGGGGTACTAGTGAGAGATCCCCAGACAGAGGAGAATGAAGAAAGAGTCTCAGGATCCTGAGTGAGGGCTCTGGAAGTGAAAGCAACTAACTGAGAGTGGAGGAACATTGAAGTTCCAAACACATTATGTTTTTCAATTATAAGTTTGTTGTACTATTGAGGATTGGACTGACCATTTGGAGCTATTGACCTTGGTCTCTGGGAGGGGACTTCTGTTTCATTTTGAGAGCTTTCATTTTGCTGATGTCCAAAACCCATGGTTGGTGAAAGGACAGGGGATAAGGGGAGGTAGGAGCCCTGAGAAGATGACCACTCATCTTGCCTGAGCCAATATAGACCCATTGGGAGCCTTCTGTTCAGCTAAATTAAACCAAGTTGTGATGGGCAGGAACAAAAATACGACGCACAGGTGTAGACACAGGAAAAGTCTCATTGGTCATTAATGAAGCCCCAATCAGCCGGGAAAAAGACTTTCACACCCACAGCCGTTCAACGCTAATTGTGTGTTGTATACGTTTACTTTTGAAACAATCCAACAGGGTTTTGGAATTTGGGTCAGAGTTAATCATAAAGTCAATGTATGCTCCATGTGAGGGAATTGTTTTGACTTGTGGCACACCCCACCCATCTATTTCTACTCAGTGCATCAGGCCTAGAAATGTCTTCCACTGTTTTTTATTACACCCTATTGGCCAGTTCAGTTATAGTGGACCTTAGCACTTTGGACGAGGGATGTTGCTTTGCCAACTAAAGGATGCTTCTGGTCCACATGAAACTGTATTTTTCCAAGACCACTGAAAAGTAAGTAAATTTCTGTTCTTTGTACAGCTCTAGGTTGCAGCTGATAGTGCTTCTGCTCAGACAGACCACAGAGAATAACAGGTTTTTATACCACTTCTTGTGGTCTGTAGTGTGCTAATATGAAATGTTGCTTTTATCCAGAAATGTAAATATGTAAGCTAGCAGGATTGTTCAGAACAGAGTTTTCCATTGGTGACATGAGATGTGCTGGGAAATGTTGATGTGCATTTGTGGACTGAACACTTCTTTAAACAAGACATGCCCCCGCCCCTTGTAGTGTACTGTTGATTACACCCATTTAAACATGCCATCTGTCCAGGCCGTGAGTCTGTAGCCCATCTGAGCTTGTAGCCACCTCACATGAAGGGTGGCCAGGCTCAGATGATCACCTCCCACACAATCTTTCCAGTTGAGTCTCCCTGCCAAATGGGACAAGACTGTTGGAAACATAGAGGCTATTCCAGCCCTGAAGTGGCCTCACCTCTTCTGAGGCTTAAGGACCAGTTATCTTCCCATTCTCCTCTGAAACTTTCTTGCACCCACTTAGACTAATGGAGAGGAATTTACAGACTTTGACCAAATCTCTGCTGAAGTCAATGACTTTAACTTCAATGGTGCAGGATCAGGCATAGCATGGTATGCCAGAGTACAGTGGGGTGCAGGAGGAAGTATTTTAATGTCTGAAAGACCAATTTAAAATTCCTCAGTGGAAAGTGCAACACACTACCAATGCAAAGAATCTTTAGTGTAATATGTAGCCCACTAGACCCTTCTCTGTCTTGCTCATATGCATAGCTGCAAGTGATTCAGAGAAGGAATAATATGCCTTCTTGAGCCAATGTGGTATAAAATATCTTTATATTAGAAAGTGTATATTTTATTGGGTTTGCATCGTATTAGTGTCATATGAGAACTTGATTTCAATATAACAATATGAAAGTGCACATGTAATTTCACTTCTGTATCACATTAATACTAAACTACTGTACATGGTAGTAATATTAAACTAATGTGACAGAGTAATACAAGGGTAAGATGATATAAAATTATTAATATTATAGAAAGTTATTCATGCCATGCAAAGAACTCTAAAGAACAATTTGATTAAACTTCCTTGCTCCTTTCTCTGCTCTAGCTAAGATACTTTGATCATAGGTTGAAGCTGATGAACAAATTTAGATTGGTTAATTTCCATTCCATAGCCTCTTGTTAGCTCATGAAATGGCTTCAGCTGAATTCACTGGTGCCAGGGATAGTACTTCATACAATGTCCAGTTTTGAGGAAAGAAGTTGAAGTACGGGAAGGGATGTGAAATCAAATATGAAGTGAATTGCAGAATTTTGGTAAACAGGTCCTTTTTCACATGCCTGTTCTCTGTTGTCAAGTTTAAAGGGCATGCATGTAAAACTTTAGCGAACCAGGCCATACATCTTTAATGATGTGAATTGCTCCTTAAACACAACAAGGTAGCAAGTTGCAACTACTAGCAAAAAATGGCCAGGTACAGTGTAGAAAAGTAACCCTTTCACAATAGGTACCAGTTTGACTCAGAAAGCCACAGTGCATTTATTTTAACTCTGCAAAATTCAGGATCCTGATTAGGCAAAATAGGAACTAAGTTATATCAAGACATGCATTTCCCTTTTTTAATCAGATCACTGAAGACTGCCAACAACAATATATTGTATATGGGGAGCCAGCCTTTACGCAAAATTAAATGAAAATTTATAGGGCTGTAGTCTTCAGAATAGTCTCTCTTTTGTGGCTTTTGGGTTAGTATATTATTTGTCAGATTTTTATAAGAACATTATTGCTTTAAGAAAAAAATTTAAACCCTGAGAAATTACTCTCAGTCTAACGAGTTCTTTTCCACTGACTACAGACATCATTAGGGGATGGCTATAGCCTGAGGCTGTGCATGAACTTTTTCTTCTAACTGTACACTTTATGTATAATTTAGCTTTCTTGCCTAAATTATTCAAGCAAATAGTGAGTGAAAATAATGGAGTTCACTGAAACCTTCCAGAGGATTAAAATAAAACAGTTTTTTACGTTGATTTGAATTTTTAAGCTTTTTAATCATGGATTTCAAATGGAATACGCATGTCTTCAGTTCTTCTTAGCCTGTCCCCCGTGTCTTTTTTCAGTAAAAGAAAAGAAAAGAGGAACCAGCTTCAGCAAATATCCCATTAATTCATTAATGTTGCTGATGACTATTAGAGGTAGAAGTTACAGTAGTTGAGCAAAACCTATAGACACAAAAAAATGCATTCAGCAAGTATTGAACTGCACACTGCACTTCTCTTACTTCCTTTAATGTGGCCAATTGGTGTGTTGCATTACATAGTTTATTCCTCAGAAACAAATACTGCTTGGTGACTAAGTTTGAAAATTCTAATAGGATTCACAAACAGTAAAACCCAAGCCCTAAAATGTAATAAAAAAAGTATATTCCTTTATCTGACAACATTAAAAAAAAGAAAGAAAAAGAATGTTAGGAATAACATTCTTATCTCAAAATTATATTCTTACCTATACAACATTAAGGAGCAGCTGCTCAGCTGATGTGAATTTTATAGCTCCACTGAAGTCTGTGAAGTCCAGATGAAGATCTGGCCCTTAATATTTATGGCTTACATCAATCTTCTGCATTCTTGTTCATGTGATTATCATGTGCCCACACATGATTATGACTGACGCTGCAATTAATATTGTCTTGGCCATTTTGACTTTGGATATGTTCATGAAGTCATCCTATAATGAAAAATCACTCTCTATAAATTAATAAATCTTACAAATACCTACAACTTAATTCTATAGAGTTCACCAGTTTGGGCAACTTGTGATTTTGCTGAAGTTCTTTTAGAATGAAAGTATGATTATTATTGCATATAAGCTGGAGGAAGAGCAAATATAATTGTAGCTCCTAGTTACATAAACAGTGAGGAGAAGGAAGAGTCAAGTTTCCACCTCAGGTTACAAAGAGCAATATAGCAGTTTGGTCTCAGCTGTCTCTGGCTGCCCCAGGAGCAGGGGCTGATAGGAGAGCTCCAGAGCCACTCCTGCCTGCTCCAGCTGGGCTCTACATGGTTCTGGGCTCATCTAGGGACAGCGGCAAGGACAGCAACAAGGGCAGCAGCAGCAGGCAGGTCCTTACTCTCTGCCTGGTCCCCCCTCCAGTGTTCCTGCAATCCTTGGGAGCTGGCAAAGGGGAAGTGAACCCATCCACTACTGGCACTGTGTCTAGCCAAGCCTGGCTTCATGCACAGGATGGCTGAAGTGGGGCAGAAGCACCTTCCTGCCATTGGGTCAGCTGAAGACAAAGGCATTGGCAGGCAGGGGAGGAGTGCTGCTGAGCACAGAGGAGAAGGCAGGGGGAAGAGAAGATTCTTACCTGCTTGAGAGACAAGTTCTCCACTGCTGCTCTTGTGGCACAGTCTGCCCACCCTAGTGTGGGAGGAGCAGGGGGAGGAGGCTGGGAGCCCGGTTTGGGTTGGAAGTATGGTGAAATAGTATTCATTTGTGTTATTTCTGATATTTGCCAGCTGGACTGGTATAAAATGTTATGAAAACAGCCATTTCTAATCAAATCCTAACACACAAAATTAAAACAGACAAATCAAGGAAAGGTAGAGCTAGAAGGGACTTCCAGAGGTCATCTGATCCACACACCTGCTCAAGGTAAGAACATCCCTGTCTAAACCATCCTAGGTTCATGTTTTTCTAACCTGCACTTAAATAAAATATAGAAGTTCACCAAGCTTTTCCTCTGAAAAGAAATTCACCAAACTTTCACCCAAAGAAGTTCACCATCTTTCCCTCTGAAACAATTTGTTTCAATATGGACAAAGTTGCAAGTCAGTTTTTTTAATGGTGCTGGTATGCTGCTGCTTACCCTTTAGATTAGCATTGTTAAAGAAGGTAAATTAGATATATTCTAGTTAGTTGCCTGTAATTTGAGGGCCAAGTGCCTGTGTATCATTACAATCCATTATACTTTCACACCTGAGCTAGCTGTTCAGGCTATCTTAGTATGATTGCATGCCTCAGAGTCAAGCTGAAATCTGTTTTCAGATCCCAGTTTTACATCTCCTGTATATTTCATTACATAATCTCTGACACAGTTAAGAACTAGTATGTAAAGAATTTCAGATGATGGGTAGTAATCATAGGTTTATTTCATGTTTAATTATAACAGTAACAGTGAAGCTTACCTAAACATTTAGATTTTATTACTATTTTTAAAGATAGAACTTTCATTCTCATGAAAGCACATGATGCTTTTCTCACCTATCATATATTAAATTCAGCTTTCAGTTAAAATCTCCTTTAAGTAGCAGGTATTTCTTTCATTTTCAAGGTCAGAATATGCATTTCTTGATTGCTGTCAATCACCTGTGCAAAAATATATGTATCAGGGCAGGCAGCGCAAATCAATGGCTTTCAACAAATCAGTGACTTTCAATTTGATCCTGTATCTTTCACCAGCTTGTGCACTTGCAGTTTTGTGGGAGTTCTTTTAGAAGGATGCTCTGGTGCTTACTGTGATTGCAATACTTGTGTGCAAGCTGGGGAAAAAAGCATATAGTTGCATGAAATATTATAAAGACAGGGTATATCCTGCCTCTGTTACACATTTGTCATGTCACTGTCCAATGTCTAGTGTTGCATGAACATCAGAAATTCATTTACTATTGCACAAATTTCATTAATTGTTTTCCTTTCTGCCTAACACACTTTTTATTGTGACCATAAGCAAACTAGGGCACTCATTCCATGTAAGCAGCATTTCACAAGCTTAAGTTTGACTGCTCTCAGCCCGAAGGGCTGTAAAATAAATTTGTCTTAAGATGAAGCAAGAAGGAAATAAAGAACTGGGAAAGATAATGTTCAAGGCACTAGCCTGAGTAGCTCTGTTAATTAGCCAGAAAGAGCTAGATTGTGAAATTCTTTGACAGCATGACATTCTTTTCCCACTAAATTAATGTTCACCACAAAGTCCAAGACAACATCAAATGTGAGAATTCCCCTCCAAGTGTACTTCAGCATATCAGATATCCACAGGCAGACACAAAACCTCTTCTCTCTGTGTTAGAAAATTTTAATATTCAGTTGAGCCAAAGTGACTTTTTTCACAGTACCTCCATGTCCTTTCTTTTCTTCTCACTCATTTCTCAATGGGTGTATACTTTTTAACTTGTTTTGTTAATTGCTAGTTTTAAGCTGTTCCAGTGATTCATGGTAATATGTGATTTGGCCTCTTTTATGTGGTATTATACTCAGTCCCCACCCATCAGCTCAACTTCCTGGTACCTCAAGTATCCCTGAGTGTTGTAGACTATTATGAGGCAGAAAATATCCATGTTTTTTTCATCTGTGTTCCTTGAAAGAATTTTTCAGCCCTGCCATATGAGGCTTCCAGTTTTGCATGAAGTCCTTTTGTCCACAAAAATGTCATTTTGGCCTTCCGTGCAGAGAAATGCAGCTGTGTGCCCAAGGCTTCTCCACTCTGCTCACATAGAAGTTACAGGATAATAGTTCTCTTTTACAAACCATTATTTTCCAATTGATTTTTAGAAGCATTTCCAGACATTAGGCAGTACCTTGCATCAGGAAAGGAGAAGGAAGATCATATAGCTCTGCCCAAGTACCATGTGGACATGATGAAATATACTTACTTTTACATCCAGCAAATGGAATTTTTATGTCACTCTCAGCCTCTGTCACTTTTACTCAGGGATGGATTAATGATAGAGTTGATGAGGCCATGGCCCCAGCCCCTCAAATGGTATGGAACCCTGGCCTCTCATATTATCACATAGGGCAGACTGTGGCTTTTAACCAGAGGCCTATGCTAGAGACAATGTAAGGCCGTAATAGAGAGCTCTGGGAGTGAAAGTTCCCCCTAGAACACAGTCAGAACAAACTTGAGTATCTTTAGGGATGCTTCCTCTCTGTGGAAGTGTCTACATGTGCAATTAATGTACATGAATAAACTCCAGAGTTTATTGCACTGTTTGAATGTGTGCCTGGGAACAATAAACTCTGAAGCAATAAGCTCTGGAGTTTATTCACATGCAGCATGTTGAGCCAGGTCGGAGCTGCCTCAGCTGGCAGGGGGCCTCAGGGGTCAACCTGCCAGCCCAGGGCAGCTGCTCCCAGCTCAATGTACTGTGGAGGGGCTGGCTGGAGCATGAGGGTGCATCAGTGCAGGGCTAACTGGCAGGCAGCCCCTGCACTGAAGCACCCTCATGCCCCAGCCAGCCGGAGCAGGGTCTACACATGTGCTGCTGCAGTTTTTTACTCCACAACAAGATGGTACTTGTATTTACAAGTACTATTCTGCTGTGGAGTAAATTAGTTTACTGTGACCTAATAGAGGTGCACAGGTAGAGGCATGACATTTACTATGCAGCTAATTAGTCAACTGCCTGGTAAATGTCTCATGTAGATGTGCCCTGTGTGATGCAGGTCTGTGAGAGTGTGTGCACGCGCGCATGTGCGAGAAAGAAATTGTCAGTTATGGGGAGGGGAGGAAGGGGAAGGTCCATGGACTTGCCTGTTCCCTGAAGTAGCTGTGATTTTCTCTGGCTACAGAGCAATAATGAGTTAAGTGCAGACAACTCTTTGACCTGTTAACTTCTTATGTTAGGGTCATTAAATATTGATATTTCCCTCAAATACCATGGGGCTTAGAGACTTCTCTACACTCGGGGACCTATGCAACCCATTCTGTCTGTCTTAGCTTTTTATCTGTTCCTTTTACCAATTCACAATGGTCTTCCTTGTTTTCAGCACTCTCCAAAAACTTCCCCACCCCTCTAACCTGGAATCAACCTGCTCCCCTCTCCTTTAGACTTTTCCTCCAGGCTTCATCTCTTCACAGCTCCCTCACTGTTCCACAGCTTTGCCTGGGGTGGGAGGGGAGCGGGCATGGGGAGTGAAAAGTCCTTGTTAGCATGTATTGTCTGATCTATCTCTCCAGTCTAGAATATCCCTCCATTATGCAGTGGAACTGGGTGCTTTTTTTTTTTCCCAATGAATAGTGAACTCACTTAAGAATGTAGTGAAACTATTCCTGAAACTATAGATACATTTAGGTCAAATCTCCTGAATACTATTGTCTGGAAGAAAAATGAGGGGAGAGGGCAGCCTAGAATTTAACAAACCCATCTGAAGGGGTGATGTCCCTTTTTTAACCAGTAGATCAGGGAGATATTGAGAATCCCCTGTCCTCTAGGGTGAGGTGTCAACCGCAGTCTGCAAGCCAGATCCAGCCAACAGAGCTGTGTCATTCAGCCTATCGAGCTCTTGGAGGGGCCAGGAATTCAGAGACAGGGCAAGCAGGTACAGGGCCTGCTGCTGAGTTTTGGGCTACGGAGCATTTTAGCAGTAGCAGGGGTAGTGTTGGCTTTGTTAACTTCTATGGCTCCCTAATGGTACTCACCCCATCGCTGAAGGTAGGTCCAGATCCAGCCTGTGAGATGCCATGTGATCCAGATCCAGCCTGGTAGGGCCTGGATCTATAGGTAAGGTCCTCTTGTGAGAGATGTATATTCCAATCCCATTTAGGCAGTATAGGGAATTAAACCCAAGTCACCCACATCTGGGAGGTCACCCACATCAGTGCTCAAAACGCTGATCGATTACATAAAAGGGTGGCAGGGATGTGAAAATCGAGCAATCCTGCATTTCCTTTGCTTGCCTTATAAATGCCCAAAATGAAATGCTTAATTTCAGTTCCAATTAAACATTTCATTCAAAATGAAATGAACTTTTTAAGGGGGGGTATTGTTTTTTTTTGCTTGGCAAGAAAAATATGAACATTTTTCAATATGACTAAATTAAGCAACTTTTTTAACTTTGATTTTTCTGTTCAGCATCGAGTCTCTTAGGGCCTTGTTACAAAGTAATTTTGGACAGGTCTTGGAGCTCTTAACACCTGGATTGTCCACACATTAACACCTGAAACTAGTTTTAAGCACTCATTAGCCAGCTCAAAGTTATACCATTCCAGTGCAGGATTAACTGTGATCCATGTTAGCAAGCTCATGTTACACAAAGGTGTGGGCTCTCTGGGTCCCACCTTCATGTAAACCCCACCTGCCCCTACCACCCCAGATCCCTGCTTACTGCCCCACCACCACCCCCTAGTTTACTTGTGGCTGCCTGTACTGTCTGTCTGAGGGGAGCAGGTAAGGAAGGGTTCGTTTGTCTGTTTGGCTTCTGCTGCTGCTGCTCTCTAGGCAGGATCAGCCCAGAGAAGAGCAGCAGCTTGGCAGTGGTGCCCAAGCAGGGAGGTTAACCCTTCCCTGCCTGCTCCCCTGGGACAGACAGCACAGGCAGCCACAAATAAGTGGGGGTGGGTAGGGGGGAGCCCTGGAGTTGGGGCAAACCAGGGAAACTCTAGGGGGTAGGGGGGAAGCCTGGAATAGGAAGAGGGGGGTGGGGATTCTTACCTCTCATTCCTGCAGGCCCCTGTTGGCCTGATCATGCAACTGCTCCAAACTCAAGCTAGTACTAACACTGATCAACTTTTGTGCTGCTCACTGTAACATATAATAAGGCCATTATTCTCTATAAATTTTGTCCCAGTTCAGTCTTCCTTTGATTTTTAACTTCTATATGTCTCTTCCTGAAAAGCATTTTGTGGTACTATATTTGAAGGTTACCAAATAAAAATAAATGATGTTGAAGTGTTTTTGCTTCTGGACAGCTTCCTCAAACATCCATTTTTTAATCAATTCCTAGTTTCCTCTTCAGATGCCTCTAAGTATCCAGAAACTGTCAACATCCAAACCAGTCTTTTCAATTTAGCATTGCAAAATGTTTTAGCTTTGGCATGTTTAGTTTGTGGATCTTGTTTTGGACTGCTGTAAGCAACATTCTGGAATATAGTAAATTTAAATAAGGGCTTGTCTTCCTTCATGCAAAAGCTGCGCTGATTTAAGTAAAATAGTTTTTTTTTTCTTAAATCAATTTAATTAAACTAGAGGAAACTCGTGTGGGAACTATTAACTTGATTTAACCCTGGTTTTATCAATTTTGCTTAGATCAGCATGAAATTGACTTAAAGTAAATTGATGTAAGATAGGCTTAAATGATATTAAGAGTAGTCACTAAAGGTTGCATTGGTTTAACTAAATTCATTAACTCTCCCTTCCTCCCCCCCACAGCCTTAAAACAGTGCAATGTTGTTTGTAGACACTTGAATATTTCCAAAGTTGTCTGAGCATTCATTGTTGTTGCCGAAGGAGAGACAGGAGAATAAGAGCTGAAGATGAAGAAACTAGAAAGCAGTTCTTTCCAACTGTGCTATGGGTTTTCCTTTGGTTGCCAAACAATCTCCCTTCTCGTTCA